ATAAATACTATCATAATAGATTTACAGTTGTCCATAGTTATTTCAAAACCCATCCTACTTTCTTCCATAGTTTCTAACTCAACATTTGTTTGAAAAACTTTGCGTAAATAGAGTAACAATTCTTAACATGGCTACAGATTACCGTCCATTTAAAAGTCATAAATCATATTTTAAATAATTTATGGGAGTTTTTATACTCCCTTAGCACAGAAGCGTCAATTTTTAACTAATATGAAAACAGGTGCTATGAAAGAACAATCGAAAATGCCAAGTGAAAAAGATCTGGAAAAAATAAATATTTGGTTTCTATTTTATTTACAAACAAAAATGTCTACTCTGTTTGGCAATTAAAGTATGCCGAATATAGATCAATTTCAGTAATAATTTCAACTCCAGTCATAGGTTCCCATCGAGTTTATTTTGAAATCAAGCTATGCTTAAGTGATTAACTCGCTGTATTCAGTAAGTATTGTCTTTCTTGCTTTGTATAACTTATGAAGAAATCATTTCATTAAACTTTATTAGTCAGATATATTTTGAGTGAAATATCAGTACCTTTGACTAAGTAGGTATGGAACGTAAGAAGATTTGCACAAAATTAGCTGTAACTTCTTAAATTTACCATAAAATCTTAAATTTTACTTTATACGTACAAATCTGTTTTGCGATACCTATCTTATTTTTTCTATAAAACCTGTGAAAATTCAGTATTAAATATTCTTTTTTTTTTATTATTAAGGTAAAAACTCATTGTAGGATCTAGATAGAGTCTGCATTTCAAAACAATTTGCCGTGATAATACCTTCCCCAAACACAATTTAACTAAAGTTGCCATGAATAAATTGATAATCTGAAATCTTCGAATAAGTTTTCATTCTGTCAAATGGCGATTGATTCAACTGAGTATGACGTAATGATTGCCCACTTACCGTGATCCTTTCTAGACTATTCTTATAAATTCTGAAAAATACAATTATTTCTTTGAATAAACTAAAGTATTTTGATGATTCTGAAAACTTTAGTGATAATAAAATCACTATTGATAGTTGATCTAACTAGTGACTAAAGACATTTAATACTTTTCATCTAGGGCTTCGGTTGGCTGAAGACAGTCAATGAAATGTAGTCAGTATAAAATTTAGCTATTACATCAGTCACAAATGCATTGAAGTCTATTTTGAAAGCAGAAGATTTGCTTTGAACGATCTAAAAAATTTTGTTTAGAAATCAGTGTGAGTAAACGACTAAGATGTTGGTTAAATTTGTGCTCTTGGAAAAATGTAGATTCGAGTTGCGAGGGGATGTATTATCCGGACCACTAAGTATGAGCTTATATCGATGTTTTGGTCACTACATACAAAATTGCTTGTCCAAGATTCTCTTATTGAGGAATATACTTAAATAACGTGTTGAAATATTATTTCAAATAAATAAATTTTGCCTATTCAAATTGATAAAAAGAACTCTTTGTGTGAAACTTGATTTAATTGAGTAGTACAAAGTGTACTAATACAGTTATCGTAATAATGGAATAAACAATGTTGCGCACTAGTCATATTTAAATGCTGTTATAACAATAGGACTTCGCTTTTTATTTTATGGAAATTTATGATGATTATGTTAATTTAACAGTCCTAGCCAGCGGATTTATTAAGTCGTTTGATTGTAGAATATCCTTCTAAATGAATTAATATACTGAAAATTACTTTATTCATCAAGGGAGAGTATTTCAATATGAGAAGTAGGTGAACTTTAATACAACTGAACTATTCAGGCTCACCGATTATCTAAATGTAGTATTGTAGTGAACAGAACACGACTGGGGATTTAAGCAAAAATTACAGACTATCTTAGTAAATTCTGAAAACCATACAATGAACAGTCAATTTGCAAATTAACAACCAATAGTCTCGATCTTCACTGTTTCTTCTCTAATTCCATTGTCCGTCCATTTTCCTTCCGATTGCGCTTCGTTTCAGTTCTTTCCTCATCGGTCTTTTGCCAAAATACATTCTATGTCTGACCAACACCGTATACTACTTATATGGATATAAGTAGATCACACCACAGTATTATCATATTTTCACTTAAATTAGAGCTTTCTGTTTTCTTACATACATCACAAATTAAGTTTTCACTACACTGCATTTATGTTCTCTTAAAAAGAGGCATTTTCTTATTCAGTGGATAAAGTTTAAATCTAAAGAAAATGTATCAGCAGATAACTGATAGATTATCTAGGTTAAGGTAATCGGTCAGTGACTAGAATAACATCTGATTTGAGCATTAATAAAGTACAAATAAATGAAGGCTTTTAATTTATTCTCAATAGGTGAGAAATTCACTTAGCTCTTGTCTCCAAAAACTACGCAATTTATTAATATGGCAACCAACGTTTCTTACAGTTTATCAGAAAATCGTAGACGAAAAATTTTTTTTAGTAAGAAACGTAAAGCACTAACTATTTTTAGTTACGTATCGGTTATGTCACAGTTTCTCAGTTAATTTGTCTATTGTTGTTAAAGTTTTTTAGAATCTGCTTTACAATGTAAATAGTTTTTATATTTACATTCTATACGTATATAAAAAAACTAGTAACAACTCCTCTTCATAGCTAACACAAAATCTATCAACGTTTTAGTTTACTGTCTTTATAATACTTTATTTGAATTTAGGCAAAGCAAGTCCTCAAAGATGAAAACTGTTTTCTATAAATCAAGATGATTTACTTATAAGCAATATTTCCAATCTATTGGTAGACATTTTGCTCCTTTAAAACTTTATTTAATTGATAGTTAATAACGGTCACCTCGATATTATTTCATTTCTTTATTTGTATTTATTATTATCGTTACGCTGTTTCACTAATCTTACAAGCCAAACTAGTAAACTAAGTGAAAAACCAGAGTACAATAAATTCCACCATCAAAATTTATAATTTACCACGAAAATGATCAGTCTTCTACTTTCCTGAACTGAAATCCCTAAAACCCTTTGATTACAATGCATTAGAACATTTGAATGGTAAATATTTGATTTCATGAGATAAAAAGTATCCAAGTATTAAAATATTTAAGATTAAACATAATTCAACAATAATCATTATGAACGAAGGCTAGTTTTAAGATCTCGGATGTGTGTTTTGTCTTATTCGGGACTCATCACCTGGATATACTTCCATTCTAGAGTTGATATTTGCTCCGGAGTTCGAATCCGTTGCCGTTCGCCTCAAACGTCATTGTGCTATCAGTTTAGCTACTAAGTCCAGACAGCCATTGTTTTGTGAAATGGGGCCAATTTTGATTTATATATCGGTTATTTGGAGCTTACTATTGATGTTAATGACTGTAATTGACTAGTATCTAACTAATTACAGTACTCAACATCAATAAGGAGATTCAAAACAATCAATAGAAACAAATACTTAAATATGATTTAATAAGTTAATCTATTTCAAACCAGATATAAGTGAATGAATGATTTTTTTTCTCAAGTAAGTGGTCAAGTTATATATTTTAATTCTTTCCTTCTGAACAAATTATTTGACTTTTAGATAGAAAAAAATCAACAACAAATATTTGTGTACATATATTACTAATTAAAAAAAGAAAATTCATGATTTTTTAAGTGATCATATGGAATAAGATTTAAAAGATAAATTCACACACATACACAAACTACACTGACATATTTAAAAGAAAAAAAAGAAAACAAAACAATCATATTACACAGTTCTACAACAAATTTACTTGTGAAATAAAAGTGTACTTTTGTTACTCTTATCATTTTAAACATAATTAAAATTTTTTGAAGAAAACATACATAGAATAAAGAGAAGACTAAGTATTTTCATAGTTGAGATCATGAGTCAATTGAAGCTAGAACACAATGGAAAACCTGGAAGCACTGGACGACTGTTTCGTTTCATTGTGGGACTCCTCAGCAGTGCGCACCTACGATCTCGTCTCACTAGATTCAAACCCAGGACCTATCAGTATCGCGAACGAGCGCTTAACCTCTCGATCACTGAGCCGGCATCCAATGGTGTTAATGTCTATCTTCAACCTATTCACGAAATTGAGTGACACATTCGAATCTCGTCAGGTGGGATCGTAGATGCACATTGCTGAGAAGCCCCACAAAATGGCGAAACGGTCGTCCAGTACTTTCAGGTTGTCCATGGTCATCTAGCTTCAATTGACTCATGACCTCAACTATGAAAATACTGAAGTCTCCGCAAGAACTCCTTCTGATAAGAAGTCTTAGTAACAAAAAAAAGTGGTTAATAATTTACCAACAGTTTTATCATGAAAAAAAACATGTTCATATAATCAAAGAATTAAAACATCCAAATAAAACGAAATGAAATATATATATCGTATAATATATATATATATATATATATATATATATATATATATATTCAATTTCTAATCAACATAAATTAAAAATATACACATAAAAAATAGGACAAAAAAATTTAAGAAAAACAAACATTTTTGATCAATAAAGAAAGAAAGAAAAAAAGAAAACATGAGAGGAAAAGATTTATGATCATCAATAATTGATTACTTTATTGATATATTTTAAAGTATAATCTATATATATTTTGAATTCTGTTATGTTCATTGTATAAGATTTAATAAAATATAAACAAAAAAGTTAGCTGTTTTTCATTTGTACATAAATATATATATATGTACGGTAGAGGTTCATCTGTTTATGACCAAGTCTTATTTATTTGTTTATTTTTTTGAAAAAGTTTTTTCATTCTGTTTATTTATTTATTCTCAAAATAAGTTTATAAATGACTAAATGTTCACAATTCAATGTTCAATTTAAATAAACAAAACATTAATAAGTTATTATTATTATTTTATAGATTCATTAACAGATTTTATGTAAAATTTTTATATTCACCAAAAAAAAACAATACAATAAAACTTTAAATAATAAATAAAAACAGAATTATTATTTAATTTATACAAAAGAAAATATATATCATAATCAGATTATTTATGAAATTCAAATTATTTAAGAAGTGAAATGAACATTAAGATTTCAATGTTCTCATGGATACTTATTCAAAGCCAATTATATATTTGTAAAATGTATTCAAATGATGTAATGTACTTGAAGAAATATTACAAGATTTCATCTTATATGAGCTGGTTATTTTAAATTTATTTTTTCAAATTGATAGATTGAAGATAATATTCCAATGGATTGAAACATTGAGCTACATATGGTTTGTTTACAAGTAAATATTCGGAAAAAAATTTTGCAGACAGACTATGTAGTTAATAATCTGGAAAAAAAAGAAAAAGAAAATGAATTTCGATTTATTCCTTAACATTGACAGGAGATTACGATATGTTTAAGAGTTTTGAAATAAAATACAATAACTTTGTCAATACTCCATAGTTTTAATTGGTTCTTCATTTGACGTTAGTCCATAATGAAAACTACGTTCAAATTAATAAGAAATAATTTCAAACAAACAATACTAAGCGAATTTAAACTTCACCCCATTGCACAAGCAAGTGGCTATTAGGACTCAGTAGTTCAATGAATAACGCGATGGCGTTTCAAGCGAACGGTGCTGGGTTCGAGTCACAGAGTGAACATTAACTCTGAGATGCAGGTACATCCAGCTGACGAGTCCAAAATAGGACGAAACGCGTGTTCTGGATTCCACTGCTAGCCATTATCCATCTTTGCTTATAATGCTTGTGAATTAAGGCTATATCGGGGCAATACACACAGTATGCATATATACCAATAAGAGACTGATCAATTGCACTCCTAAACATCAATGAGAAGATTCAGACAAACAATACTAACGTAATTTCCAGAAAGTTCAGTAAAATTCATAGATGATACAGTGGATTTAAATGCACAAAAGGACATAAAATGATTCAAACAACCTAATTTCATATTGAACAACTGAAAGAATGAAATATAGTTATTTGCTTCGTAAATTATTCATCTGGTTTAAATACACATGTCCCTCGAATCGTTACATGTAAATCCATTATGTTTAATTTAAAGTTCATGTTTACGTAAGAAATTTTCCCTTATGAAAAAGTCAGTTTACAAGATAACAAAATGTAGTATAAAATCTTAAAAATGTAACATGTTCGTGGATATAGGCTTTAAATAAAATTAAACCTCATATCCGGTTGTTTCGTTGATTCCTGTGATTAAACTGTAAGGACTTATGATAACCTATTAACAGTTTTCTATAAATGTTAGGCATTTTCTTGTTTTTAGACATTTAGATAAGATATATATATATATATATATATATATATATATATATATATATATATATATATATATATATATATATATATATGCTAAACTGATGTTTTCAATACCCTTAAAAGTCAATGCACAACACAACATTATTTAACGCCATTTTGTCGAGCTGTTAGGGGTGATTAAATTCTATCTGTCGAGTTAACAATGTTCACATGATCAAGTTTTATGTCAATGTGAAGCAATAATTATCTATATTAGGTATTTATAGGTGATTAATAAGATACTAACCTCCATTCAATCACTTAAATTTTCGCCAATTCACTTTTTTAACTCTTAACTAAAACTCACATTTATGTACCGGAAATATTATACATAAAGTTTGATGTAATATTGTATCTAAAACTCCACTATCAACTTTATGAATTATGTAATTTTAAGAAGTAGTTGTTATGATACTTTTCAAAATATAAAAAATTATTTTTTGAATGATGTTGTACACTAAGTACAAGATGTATTGTAACAGTATTTTGTAAGTCAAATGCTCTAGTATATTATTTTTATAAAAATGCAATTTAGCTTGACAACAATACATAGAAACCTATCAAATTGAATCAAATATTAGGTATTTCACCTAAAATTTTCAAGAAATATGTAAAGGGTTTAACAGAGAGCTACATTTTGTGCATCCGAGTAAATGAAATTCTTTTTTTCAAACATATCAGATAAGAAAATGTCAGTGAAGCATCATACTTAAATATTTCAGGGAATTAAACATTTTTCAAGGTAGAATGACAATTTACTTTAGAAATTTCTACCAAAATAATGGTTACGTAGTTTATTGTAAACTACCGGAAGTCAAAAAATCCTTTTACCTGACCTCAGTGAATCAGAATTTTTCTTAAACAATCTTGTTAGTTTTATTTATTATTTACAATGTACATAGTGATAGCGTGTTTTGAAAAGATGCATTCACTGTTTCTTAATTATTATTACCTGAAAAAAATGCGACCGAGTAGTAATCTTGATGGGATTTGTGAAGTGCACTTTTGAAATAACAAGGGGATGGTACCTCTTATGAGAACTAACTACAGGCTTCGTTTTACAAACAGTATTTGCTAACCGGTAAAAAAGATGGCTAAATAGTAAAGCAACTTTCTTATCTATCCAAATGTTATTACTAAATGTGTTTACCATCATGTATGTTCAAACATCGAAATATCATCAATTTATACAAACAAACTATTGTCAGTGAAATCTATATGTTGCTTTTTCTGGGATACTCCGGATATAAAAAATGGGTGGAACCTGAATAGAATAACTTATTTTCCTTTACTTTGAAAGTAAAATAAGCGATGAACCACTAGATTGGAGCCGACAGACTGTTAAAAACTGCTGGGAAAATTGTATAAACTGCATAATTTCAAATATTTGGTTCTAAAAAATGCAGCCATGCTCGGTTTTAAACGAGTTACATTCAAAGTGGCTTTTTTTGTAATATCAACAGGGTTATAGCCCCTTCTACAAGGATCCATTGCTAGACCAGTATTATTAATAGCTAGAAGTTGTCGATTATTAGAAGGTTAAATACGTTTAAACTTATAAATAAAATGAAATACAAGATAAATAGGATACGAATTTCGGAAATATCTAAGAACAAAGATAATTGTTTTATATACATCTAAAACTATAACATTTAAAACATACTCATAACAATAACTTCATTGCCTTAATCCTTTGCTTTGTAGTGTAGAAGGTAGGGTTAAAACAGTGGTTGCCATAGAAGTGGTTTCAGTTCCTGTTCCACCACCAGAACTATCTTCATCACTTTCTTCACTCTCACTAGGAGCTTCTAAACCAGAATGTAAAGTGAGTTGAATAGCTCTTGTTAAACTGACAGCTGGATAATAAATCCCACTTGGTAAATTAGTAAATGCAATTGGACCATGTGGTTGATCATTTAAATAATAAGATAAACTGCCTCTATTACAATCTAATCGAATACCAACTACACTACCAGCATGTATTCCACCATCAGTTCGTTCAAAATGTTCTCCATTATGTAAAAACCAACTTCGTTTATAATCAAAATAAATTGACCAACTTTTCATATCAAGACCTAAAGTTGTAGAGAAGAGAAATATAAAGCAAATATTTATATTGATTCTTTTTGTTTTAATCAATTTAATTTACATTGTATACTGATAATAAAATAAAATGTTTTCAATATGTTATATTGCATCAAAATGATTGTGTTGTAACATTTAATTTTTGTTTATAATTAAAGTAAATGGAAATTTGTCAGTTGGATTTATATTTAACAAGATTAATGCAACATATTTAAATTCATATTAAAAAGTGAATTAACACACCTTGATATTACAATAAGATTTTTGGTATACTACTAACAGATCAATCAATAAGTTGGATTTGATTTGTTCCCAAACTTTCCCTGATTAATATTTAGGATGCCGAGTTTATAAAACAACTTACATTCTTTTTTGACTTTATTCAAACATCAATTAATCAGTGGATAATCCAAATGTGTATGGTCGGTTTTGCTTTCCTCATGGGCTACTTCACAAACTGATGGAATTTTTTTATCACTGTGGATAATATGTCGTTTTCACTCAACAATATTTGACAAAATGAATAGAAGAGAATGCATAGCAAGCTTATCTTGAATCTGAACGATTCCTACTAGACAAAATTATCACAGATGTAATAAATCATCTACTCAAGTAGTATTTTCATCCTACGTATACAAAAATGGATATGTATAGCTTGTCACGCTATTCGAAAGTTGAAAACTAAATTAAATTTCCAAATGGTGAATATTCTTAGTTGACAATAAACCTAAATTGTCATAAAGTTATTTGTTACATCATCTTCATTTTTATGAACAGTTGTTATCTATAAGAAGTTCGGTCTAAATTAGAGCGAATAATTTCACAGTATTTGGGCGCCAAGTTTATGTAAGACATTAAATAGGAAGATTATATTTGTAAAATCTCAGTGAATGAGAAATGTATTTTATAAGGTGAAGTTTTAATAAAATCATCTAGTAATAAACAATCAACTTAATTTTCACTTGTAATCACACCTGCCAGTAAGGAATTCGCATCAAAGAATATTATAAGTTTGTGTAATCTAAACTGTTTATTCTTTTTTTAAGAAGCACATCAAGTTTATGATGATGTCTTGATAACGGATACCTATAGTTAGCTGGTAAGTAAAAATTGATTAACAATCCAGAATAAAAGTTTCCATTACAAGAAAGTCATTCTTCATAATAATAGTATTCTGAATATTAATTTTGAAAAAAAGTGACTGAAAAGAAATTTTTGTCGAACTAGTATATTTATATTCAGTATTGGCATCCTGGATCTTCGTTTCATTGATTTTGTAACTTGTCAGTTGAATGTACGTACATCCTAGTGTTAATATTCATCCCAGAACTAGAACCCATTACCTTCCACTTCAAACGCTAGAGATTTTATCCACTGAGTTAATAAGTTCAGATATCCATTCATTAATACAAGACATACAGTACATATATATTCATTATAAAGTAAGGTTTAACATGTTCAATTGACTCATGATTTTCAACTACATAAAATCACTAAAATTTCCACAAAACCTCCTTCTGATAATGATCATATGCTCACTAGTGACTGGCTTCCAGAGGTATTTCCTGGAGTTCTAGTGAGAAGCAGTGACCAGTGGAGTTCAACCGGGTCTGCTGTGAGATAGTAACTCACTGAAGACATTAGTGAATGGTTGCTTAGTTTCGTGGATTGGCTGAAGTTAGACATTAACACCGTTGGATGCCGGCTCAGTGGTTTAGTGGTTAAACGCTCGCGTGCAAGACTGATAGGTTCTGGGTTTGAATCTCGCGAGACGGGATCGTGGATACGAACTGCTGAGGATTCCCACAATGAAACGAAACAGTCGTCTAGTGCTTCCAGGCTTTTCATGGTGTTCTAGCTTCAATTGACTCATGATTTCAACTATATAAATTCAACTTATTCAATTGTTGAATATCTTAACAGAATTGTGAACAAAAGCTTATACGAAATTCAATCAAGATTATAAATAAGATAATTGAAATTCTTTTTTAATATTAAAAAAACAAACAAAGAAATATTTAATGTATAAGTTTATATAATAAATATGTTAGTACAAAATGAAAAATAACTATAAATTGTTATATTGTATCATTATTAGTATTATTCTTTAGTATTATTTGTTTAATAATCATTTGAATAAACTTGAAAACTGCTACATATGATAAATTGATTTAAGATTAAATTCGAATGATGTTATAGTATTAAAAATAATATAAATAACTCGTAATAAACTATTTATTTATTTTATATAGTTGAGATCATGAGTTAATTGAAGCTAGATCACCATGGAAAACGTGGAAGGACTAGACGCCCGTCTCGTCCCATTGTGGCACTTCTCAGCAGTGCGCATCCACGATCCCGCTTTGCGAGATTCGAACACAGGATCTATCAGTCTCGCGCGCGAGTGCTATTCCACTAGACTACTGAGCCGGCATCCAACGGTATTGATGTCTAACTTCGACCAATCCACAAAATTGTGGTTAGTATTCAATTTTGATAGTTCAGTAATAATCATTCTTATGAACTAATGGCAACAGAATTAATAACCAATATACTCTTTGAATATCTCATACAGAAGATCAGTCTTAAATCGAATAACGTAGTGATATTACTTAAAAATGGATTCAAATCCTATGGAGTGCATCACTTTTAATATGATTTCAGATATACCTTATTGATGAATGTCAGGTAGTATTGAAAGTAGGTTCAGGAACTTTCTACTGATTCCTTTCAAGTAATTTGAATGCGTATAATTAGATAATTTTCATCAAGAAAATGTGATATAATATTGGTGTGTGGGTTACTTATAACCACATAAGTAGTGTGTTACAATGGTCGGGAACTCAATGTATTTCACTAGAAGATAGATAACGAAAAAATAACCGAATCGAAACGCAATTGGTATGAAAATGCATGAACAATGAAATCAGAGAAGATGGACAGATATTTATAGAAGGAATGGTGAAGATTGAGACAATTGATTGATAGTTTGCAAATTAACTGTTTGCTGTATGGCTGTCAGCTTTTAATATGATAATCTGTAATTTTCTTGTCAAATACATTCGATTGTTCCCACCCATGTTCTTGTTCACTACAATATAATTATTTGTAATAAGATTTTAGACAATAATTTAAAGTTGTCAGTGATTTTAGAATGATGAATATTTTTGTATCATAGTTTCACATTAATTCGACATAGATATTCAAGAATCATAACAATATTTTTAAAGCTGTGCTTTGTCATTTTGAAACTTTTAAATTTGTGCGTCAGGTAATAATCTCATTTATATGCCCTGGCCCCCAACTGCCCTGGTACGGCCGAGAGTGTGGAGAGTTCGTTCTTCCACTTGAAATGCTCTCACATGGCCACGCGTATATAGACTCTGCTAGGGAAGTCCTACTCACTGACTTCTCGTGGTGGGGATGTTGTTTACGAAATTAAGAGGACGAAAAGAGAATGTCCGGCGCTTTAACCAGGTTGATAGACACGGCGATCCACCTAGGGGAGTTGGAAAACCCTGATTCCAAACCAATGTTGCACATGGGCTCCAGCATCCTGAGGGAACAAATGGCGTATTAATCAATCGTCGATCGCCGGCCTCCATGGGACTACATCTGCTCACGATGCTCCACTGCCTTGTGGATCAGATATTTACGTCGAAAGCTCCTGGTGTGGCTCCTTTAGAAAACCACCTGCTTCAGTTTGGGCACCTTGGCAGTATCACAGCCCTCACACAAATCTCATTTGATTTGTGTGGCGCATATGTATCTGGTTCCCCTTTGTACCAATATTTATGTGTTTAAATAAATAAATAAATATGAATATTATATTTTTTATTTTTCAGAATATATCATTAACTATACTTTATATCTGTTAACTAAATAACTGTCTTTAATAGCTCTTTTTCCTTTAAATAACTCTTACATTCTTAATTTTTATACTTATCCAATTATATTTATATTCCTGTTTAAAGGAATATCTACACTATGAAATAAGTTTCTTTGTTTCTGTATGAACACCACACATTGTTAATGTAATAATTAAAAAAATATGGGAATGATGGGTAGTAAAGCAATAAAGCCAATTGATTTTAGCAATTCACAACGTTACATACTACTTAAACAAGTCATATGCTTCTTTTGTGGTTTTTGAAACGTTTAAGTTGCATCACATGCATAACTATGAGTATACATTGTCAACTATTAAACAATAACTAAATAGTTGTGGTATACTCTTTTGGTTACCTAATAACTTTCTACTTAACATTAACTTATAATGAAATTTACTTTTAGTTAGTAGGTTCTAGAAAATTCACAAGTTTTCTTTTTCTTCTAAGTTTAAAAAATCAAATTAACCAAATTATGGATGATATAAGGTATGAATCACCTCATCTATTTAATCAACAAATTTGTTTTGTTACTATTTATCTCTAATTCTTAATAAAATAAGAATTTTAAAAGACTAATGCAATGATTTTCACAGTCTATTATATCATACATTACTAAATGCATCTTAAAATCACGCAATACCAATTTATCAGCTTAATTGAAGGATTCAATAGTTAAGTGATAATAATAAAACGATAACAGTTCCAACCAAGATGATTTAGTTGTTGTTGTTGATGATGATGACGAAGTTGATAACATAGTGGAAAATGTCTTGTTATAAAAGTGTTAATCTAATTTATTGATGATTCATTCATTAATATAATTTTATTCTCTAAGGTGTATATGTAGACAAAACAGAGATCGTGAACAAAACTAGTAAAGAATCAAAATGAATTCATTTCATTATGATAAAAAGAGAATAAAGTTTTAAAAAAGTGAACTGAGTTAAACAACACCTTGAGTATTGGCAACAGTCAGTAGAAAAAAAAACGCAACCCTGATAATCATAGAAGAATAAATAAAAAAGTATGAAAATAAAAGAATCCATCAAACTTCTGAACATAATCACATTGAAATTTATTTAATTCCACTTGAATTTAAG